ATCCCTGGGCACAACATCGCCAGATTGACGCCTTGGGCTGGTCAACCCACCCGCTGAGGAAATAAAAACAAACCATTTTCCCTGCCCTCTTCCATAGCCACCCAGCCCAGAATACTCCTGTGTCTGAAACACAGGTGCTCCCACATACCAAGCCCCTCTCCAGTGGACGCCAACAGAGTGTCAGCTGGACCCTGTCCACCTGGGGTTAGAGTGACGTCCACAGGTCGAGGGCTTCATCCTGTAAGACTGCTCCCGCTCAGGAGCCAGTCACGAGCCCTGGGTGGTGACCTGTGTTTCTGACCAACCGGCTGCAAATCAGGGTTCCCACCTCCTCCTCCTCCTTGGATTCAATTATTTGCTAGGACAGTTCAGAGAACTCAGGGAAATGCTAACAGGTACTGGGCTACTATTGGGGATACTGCAAAGGATACGGGCTAACAGGCAGATGGGAGAGACGAGTAGGGCAAGGTGTGTGTGGAGGACGCAGGGCTCCCAGGCCCTCTCCGGGAGCCCCGCCTGCCAGCATCTCCACAGGGTCGGCCATCAGAAGCTCCCCAAGGAAGCCGGGTCCTGCTTGATCTGTCACTGACCATCGATGATCAGCTCAACTGTCAGACCCTGCCCCTGGGACTGGGGGCTTGGGGCTGAAAGTTCCCACCCTCTAATCATGCCTCAGTCTATCTGCCCCTATCCTGAAGCTGTCTAGGGGTCCCCAGCCACCAACCATCTCATTAGCATAAAGAAACCCATCTCACTCTGAGGATGTCAAGGGTTTTAGGAGCCCTGAGCCAGGCAGGAACCCGGGACAGAGACCAAATATAAACTTCTTACTCTATCACGATATCACACGCCCATTTCCTAGATGGGGCAAGTGAGGCCTGAGAAAGTTCACCTACCAAGAGTCCTCTACCAAGCCCCATGTGGCAGGGATGGGACCCCAGTCAGACACGTACTCTGAAGGGGTTCTTGGACTCCAGCCTCCCAGAGCTATTTTTCATCTGGGAGAGGGTGGGGTTTGGGGCCAGACGTGTTTGTCCTGGGCTGGAAGCCAGTTCACAGCCCCTGGAGAACAGAGCAGCTCTGTTTAACGAGGGCAGACTGTGCCTTGACCCCAGCCAGCTGTCCCGCCTGGGTCTACAGCGGGTAACTCGCGGGCAAGGGGGGTGGGGGCCTAGCTCAGAGGAGAGCTCAGCGCTGATCAGAAAGAGGTGTGGGCCTCAGGTTCCCCCTCGCAGCCCCTTTCCTGCCCGTGTGACCTCCGGCCAGTCACACCTCCCTCCAGGCTCTAGTCTTCTCAGCTGTAAAGTGGGAATGACCCAGAGAAGGACTCCACGCCCCTCGGAGTGGAGGGAAACATCAAATGAGGGAACAGATGGGTAGAAAGGTACTTCATAAACTGTAGAGTGCCTAGACTTCTGTCTGGTTCATCCCACCTCTGTCCCACGTCACGGCCCAGCAGACTTTCAAGCCTTTGCTCCTTCACAAGGCCACCCCCTCCCCTGGAAAGGAAAGTGGCCTGGGGTGGGGCTCAGGGGTCCAGATCTTACCACCCTGACCCAGCAGCTTCACAAACCCATCAGACAGAAGAGGAAAACCAAGGACCGCCATCTCCTCTGAGGCTGTTAAGCCTGGGTTCAAGGGAGGGCTCTCTGTTCCCAAGATGAGAGTGACCCCTAGCCATCTGAGACTCAGACCATGGCGGGGACTGACCACCAGGGACAGGCAGCAGCCTCCTGGGGCCTGGAGGGTAGAAGTGGCCCTGAGATCCCTGGCTCCCAGGCTTCCCGCTGCTTGCCGACCCCCCAGACTTGATAAAGGCTTCCCATCCCAGGGCATTTCAGGCATGTCTCCAGCAGACTTGGGGTCCCTCCTCTTCCCATCAGACGGGCTGCGAACTTTGCTGTAAAGTCCCCTGGGAGGACACTGTGGCCTCCGTTTCTGCAAAGCAGCCTCTCGGGAGCCGAGGTTCTGCTGACTCAGAGCTGCCTGGTCAATCCTGGGGGAATTTCCCATGGGTGGGGACCCTGTCTACTGTGTCCCCCAGTGAGAAGGTTTGAACCAAAGCTGATAAATTAGGCCCCTTTGACCTTGGAGAGACACTGGGGACTCAGGAAATGAACTCACGTGATTCAAGGAGGGAAACACTCCCTGGGAATCAGTAGAGGCCTTTAGTGGGGCCTCGGGAGAGACTTCCTCCTTGAGTTTCCAGGTAATGCAAGCAGAGGCTGTGGGGCTGGTGCCAAAGGGGAACACTAACACCCTCCAATGAGCAGGGGCTGTATCTGGGCATCTTTCTAAGGGAGTTCTGGGTGCTAACTTGATCAAGTCTCCGAGGCCTTATTATGCTCATTTTACAGCCGAGGAAGCCAAGGCTCAGAGAGTGTCTTGGGATGGAAACCCTTGATCAAGTCTGAGGGGTTGACAGGCAGGGGGCATCCTGGGAGCCAGGGATCTCAGGGCCACTTCTACCCTGTTGCTGGTGGCCCTAGGAGGTTGCTCCCTTTCCCTGGTGGTCAGTCCCCGCCATGATCTAAGTCTCAGATGGTTAAGGGTCACTCTCACCACCTGACCAAGGACACACAGCATGTGAGTGGTAGAGCCTCAGTGAGAAATTGGCCAGTCCAGAGCTCTGTCACTAACACTGTGCAACACTGCCTCATGTGCAACAGAAGGCCTGGACGCAAGTGCTGCCCGGAGGACTAAGCCCAGCCCTCCCAGGGCTCCTGGGAATGGGGCATTGGCTAGGCATGGTAGGATGGCAGAGGAGGCAAATCCATGACCACTGAGACCCAGCAATCAGCCTGGGGGTGGTCCAGGGCTTCAGTGTCTTCAGCTCTGTCCCTCCCTGTGACATGGGCAAGACACCTCCAAGCCACTCTGAATCTCAGTTTCCCCCTCAGGAAATGGTGAAATGAGTACCAGCTTCACAGAACTGTTGCAAAACATTCCACAAGCCCTGGAAATCTTTTTAAAGAGCTTAGCATAAAGCTAGGGCTAGTATTATTATTATTCATTATTTTAAAACATTGTTACTCATTCACATTTCATTTCTGCATCCCATTCTCCCCCAGGAACTGCTGTGAGTAGAAAGGTTTTGGGGGGATAGTTCTTTTTGGAGATGGGGCGGGGGATGAACAAGGTGAACTTGAGGACCCCTGTAGCCCTCCTCAGCTCTAGCAGCAGCTGCGGTCTCTCAGAAGTCAGTTTCCATCCCTGCACCCCAGGTTCCCTTGCTCCCTGCCCGTGGTCCCTGCTGGCTGGATGCTGTTGCTATGGCAACGGTGTTTTAAGCATCTTGGACTCCCCCTCTGAGGCATCAGGCATGGATGGGCTAATCGAATGCCTCATGCATCCTCGGGCCGTTCTGGATGCAACGTGAGGGAATGGGATGCAAGAATCAGAGCTGGCTGGGGGTGGGGGCTGGGCCTGAGTGCCCCCCCCCAGCCCCCCCGCTACAGTTTAACTGAATACCCTAGCATTTGTGTGTTCCAGCCCCCTCCCCAGTACAACCAGGTTGAGAGGAGGGACTTTTAAGAAGTGACCAGATTACAAGGGCTCTGTCCTCCTGGAGGGATTAGGGTCCAAGTGGCCTCCTTACAGCAGAGGGGTGAGTTCAGCCCCTTCCCTTACGCTGGTATGCTCTCACTGGGTGACATCCTCTGCCATGGAGGGGGCCCCTCCGTCTTGGACCTCGCAGTCTCCAGAACGATAGCAAATAAACTTCTATTGTTTATGAATCTCCGTCCCGCGGTCCTCTCTGATAGCAGCACAGCACAGTCTAAGCTCCTCCACGCCTCACTGAGTGACCCGGGAGTCAGAGGGGCAGACTGCAGCCACCACTCCAGCCACCCCTGGCCCTGAGAGTCTCATTTTAGTTGCTGGGGGCGGTATCTCCTAGGAAACCGCCTTTTGATCACCTCCACTCACAGTTCTGAAGCAGGCAGGCTCCAGACCACACCTGGAGAATCTTGAGTCTAATAGAAGATTCCTGAAGCCACCTGGGGCCTTCTGTGTGTGATTCTCTTTGCTGAGAGCCCCCCTGCTCCAGGCTACCTCTCCCCACTTCCACAGTCTCACTGAGGGAGGATGTGTGCTCCCACCCTCTTCCTGGGGTCAGGAAAATCCAGTTAGGCTGCCAGAAGGCCATTCTGATAACGCACTCGACTCGGAGAGGAGGGGAACACCCTCTGCCTAGTGATGCTCAGAGGAGGCACTAGGGGGCGCTACTCTGGCCCTGGGAAGGCTGTGCCACCTGCCACAGGCTCTACCTTGGATCAGATAAACCTCTTCCCCTGACACCCCCACCTGGTGGCTGGGTGAGGATGGTGCTCCCTTCTCTCCCCCAACCACAACGCCCATTCGCCCTGACCCCCTCCCACAGCACCTAATGCCACCAGGCAGGAGAGACTGTGCAGAAAGAGGCGTAAAGCAGGAGAAGGTGAGTCTGTGACTTGGTGGGACGGAGATCTATCTAGAGGACTGAAGCGAGTGTTCTCTCTGGAATGCAAGGACCGGGTTCTGGGGGGTTCCTTGAATTTGAGCAGGTGGCCCAGCCCCTCGGGGGAGCAGGAGATGGAGTGGGAAGCAGCTCTTCCCTTGCGGGCACATGAAGCCAGCATGGCCTGCAGTCCACCAATGCCAGTGCCTGGGAGTCGAGGGACACATACCCACCCCCTGTCCTCTAGGAGGTGGCTCTGGGGCAGGTTAGGTGTTCCACGCTGTCTTCCAGAGGTCCCCAGCAGCACTGAACTCTGGTAGCCCCCCTGGGGATTTGCTTGACTATACACCTTTGTGGGCCTCCCTATTCTCCCCCAGCGGTGCCTGGGATCACTCGCACACCCCAGTTCTTGTCTCAGGGAGACCCAGACAACAGGCCACTAGGGTTCTCCCCACAGGGAAGGCGTGTGCGGGTCCGTGATCTCCAGGTGGCCATTTGAGCTCCTACCCCTGAGGCCTTGGGAGGGTCTCGACCAACAGGGCCTTCCCGCTGACAGCAAGAGTCTGGGCCAATCGGTGCTTTATTGGGTCTGGACCGGGCTCCGGGGCTCGCTGTGCCGCACACGTGTTTGCACCAGGACTTCCTGGGTGCTGGGAGCAGGACCGCGTCCTCATCTTCCCGCTACAGGCAATGCGGGAAATCAGTGCTCCACCGCACAACTGGATGGGGTTCACCAGGGCTCCCCGCTCCTCCTCTCCCCGGGCCTCCCCCCGCCACCCCGAGAGCCTGGTGATTGACGGGGGCTCCCGGCTAGAGAGACGCCGGCGGGCTTGTCTGGGGTGAGTCCTCCAGGGATGTCTGTGAGTCTGTCCCCTCTGAGGAAAAGCTGCCTCCAGTGGGGCAGGGGACCCGGCTCTGCCTGGGGGACCGCTGCCAGGAGAAGAGGGTGGCCAGAAAACTCTCCGGGGCCGGCTCAGGGAGCTCGTGGGGGCCTTTGTCCTCGACGGCCTCTACAGCTCTGCCAGCCTCCTGGGGTGGAGGACCTGGCTGGGAACTTCTAGGCTGCTTCCCTCTGGTAACCCGAGGGGGCCAGGAGGACTTGGGCAAGTGCTGTACCCCCAGAGAGGCGTGTAGGGGCAGGTCCCCCCTCCCCTTGGAAGCGACTTCGCCATTCAGACCGGGGCCCTTGGTAGCTGTCCCTCTTAGTTCTGGGTGTGACAGGCAGGCAGCGGGAGCCCCTGGGCACAGGCAGGGGACCAGCGCCTTCTTCAGGAGGCCCTGGATCTCCTTGTGCCTTGCCTGGGCCTCTTCCCACGGGCCCTGGCCCAGGCCTGCCTGGCTCAGGGAGGCCACCTGCAGCCCCATGGCCGTGAGCCTCTCCGCCGAGAACTCGGATGCCAGTCGCTGTAGGTAGCGTTGGAGGCGGCGCTGGTCCGCAGGGCTGGCCCTCTGGGCCTTGCCCAGCCTGAGCTGGGTCACCAGGTCCTGACAGTCCATGTGGAACCAGGTCATCTGCGGGCAAGGGAGGGGTGGAGACCGCATGAGGACATGAGGGTGTGCCTCTCTGAGCCGGGGGCTCTAGGCTGAGTGTTGCTGGATTGGATTAATCAGTCCAGCGAATGCTAGGGCTTGCCCAGCTTGGAGGCCATTTTCCCCATGGACAATCACGACAATGGTTTCCCTTCCCCCTTTTCTCCCGAGCTATGCCCACTGCTACCTGGAAGCAGCCTCTAGTGCCCCTGGGTTCTTCAGACACCTTTTTATTTTGGTACCAGTGATTGCTACTGGTGCTTAGCCACTGAGCTACGGCCCCAGCCCTTTAAATTTTTATGTATGTACTTGTTTATTTTTTGAGACAGGGTCTCACTAAGTTGCTTAGGGTCTAAGTTGCTTAGGGTCTAAGTTGCTGAGGCTGGCCTCGAACTTGCAATCCTCCTGCCTCAGCCTCCTGAGTCACTGGGATTACAGGCGTGCGCCACCACCCCTGGCTCCTCAGCCACCCTCTAATAGACCTATGGGGCCAGCAGCACTGACTTCTCTTTAGGGCTCATTTTCTCCTGTAAAGTGGGAGCTGTGCCAGACAGCCATGAAGTCTTTTAAGAGCTGAAGATGTGGCTCCTCAGGGTGGATGGACTCCTGCAGGTGGTGCTGAGGGAGGAGTCTGGCTACTGTGTTTGAGTGCCGACTGTTTGCCAGGCTCTCTGGGTCTCTTGGAGGATCACACTGAATTGGACCAGCAACCCATTTTACAGAGAGGGAAACTGAGGCCCTCGAGCAGTGAAATGACTTGCCCTGAGTCTCAGAGCCAGCAGGGAGGAGCTGGGGTTCCACCTCCCTTCCTCCTGCCTCCCAGAGCGTCCTCCAAGCAGCTCGCTGGGCAGAAACAGACTGACCGAGCCTGGGTGGATGGTCAGGCCCCAGGGGCCTCCCTCCAGCTGGGTGCCTGCCCCCCATGGTTCTTCTGCCTGGCGCCTGGATTCCACCACAAAACGTCTGCAGGCTGCAAAGGAGCCTCCGTCCCCAGCAGCTCATGAGGAACCTAATCTCTCTCTCCATTAACTCGGAGCCGTCAGCGAGCCCCCGGGCTGCAGGGCTGGGAGGCGTTTCTCCACTGAGACCATCTTTCCCCAGATTAAGGGAACTTGTCTTCAGATAAATGGCTTCATTTTTGTGGCAGCCCATGGAGCTTATGGTCAGGAAAGGGCTGCATAAATCTCCCTTAGCGCCACCATCATGTTATTACCACTCAGTGCCAAAGATGCCCCACCTGGGGTCCAGCATGGCACCGGGCTGTCCTGTCTGTCTGGGTCTCGACATTCCCAGCCAACCTGGACAGACATGGACAGGGATTCAGAGACCATCTTGCCTGATCCCTTGCTGCACAGATGAAAATTCAGACCAGAGAGGGGCAGCGCCTGGCCAAGAACACACAGTGAGAGTCGTCGGAGGCAGGACTCCAATTTTGGCCTGCCACCACCCGGGATACAGTTCCTAGCCTGCCACAAGCCGGTTTCTCAGTCTTCCCCAGTCCGCCCTCCTCTCTGGCCTCCTCACTCATCTGCCTCCGCACCAGTGGGCTGCTTGGACCTGGTCCCAAAGAGAGCTCACCGCCCAGGGGAGCTGTGAGTGGTGGTGAGCGAGTGGTGAGAAGCAGGATTGTTTCCACAGTGAGTCCTTGAGGACATAAAGCAGGTGGCAGGAGAGAAAGGTGTTTGGTTGTGGGATGTCAGGACAGGCCTCAGAAAGAAGCGCCCATGGGTGCTGAGAGAGGAAGAACCAAGAGGAGCCAAGTCCCAGGAAGAGGTTTCCAGCCGCCAAGATAGCACGTGCAAAGGCCCAGGAGCCGGAGCAAGTTTGGTTGATCCAGGGGAGGCCCCTGGGCTGAAATCAGTGAGCAAGGATAGAAGCTTCCAGATGCTGGTGGCATTTAGGGCACGACTCCTAATGATGATGACAATCATGGTGCTAATAATGGTTCCAGACCCGAGCAGTCCTGTGCAGGGGTTACTTAGGTTTAATCTCATTCTTTCAGTACCCAGCAAGGCGGGCACTAGGGCCAGAGGGTCTGGGTTTGAATCTCAACTCTGCCCCTCTCCCAGCTGTGTGGCCCTGGGTGGGTTACTCCATCTGTCTGGTTCGTCATAGGTAAAATGGGTGTAATGCTAGTATTCGGTCCGTGTGACAATAAAACAAGATGTGAAACGACTAGTACAGAGCCTGACCTATACAGGCTACATAAGCATCAACCACCACTACCACCATCATCATCACCACCACCATCATCACCACCATCATCACTACCACCTCCATCATCATCACCACCACCATCATCATCAGGGCGTTGAGACTCAGGGCAGCCAGACTGCCATTGCGGTGACAAGGAACACATGTGTCCCTGACTCTGAGTCCCAGATTCTGCCTCTCCAGCCCCTGGGGGGCCTGTCCTCCTGGCATGAGCTCACACTGCCCTCTGAGGCATCCTGTGTGCTGGCCGGGTCAGCCTGACTGCGAGGCGGAGGGGTCAGGCTCTTCCCACACTGTCCCTAGTGACAAGTCCGCTGACCAGGGGCCAGCCTTGTGGGTCCCTGTCCTAGCTCTCCCAGGCTGCTGCCTGCTGCCCGTAGGCCTTGGTCTCCTGCTCAGAAACGTGAGAGGTTTGTCTACGTGGAGTTAGGAGGGTCCTCAAGTCAAACCCTGCTTGACACCGGGATTCCGGGTGGCCTTGGGCAGGTCACGTCCCTCTCTGGGCCTCGGTGTTCCTGTCTGTAAGATGGGTACAGCGTTGGCACCCCAGCTGGGGTGGGGACTAAGGGAGGTGTGGGAGGGGCTCACAGAGGGGTCTCCTAAGGACCTCGCCACCCCCTCCGCCATCGCCACGTCTGCCTGTGTCAGGGACTCCGATGCCACTGTCTCCTCTTCTTGGAGGAGGACACTGGGCGTGTCAGCAGCTGTCCAAATCCCAGCTCCTCCTCTGCCCGGGGCTCTGTCCCCTTCCCAGGACGATGGGAGGGAATCATGCCCAGAGCCTATTGCCAAGCCTAAGCCACCCTGTTCCGCCACCTGCCCAATCCCAAGGACAGGGGACACGGGCCTAGGCAGGGGCCACGGGGTCACCTTCTTGCAGAAGCGGTGCAGGTGAAGCAAGGTCTCGAGGTCCGTGCGCTGCCTCTCGGCCGCCATGTAGAAGTGGGTCAGCTTTGCCTGGAAGGCCCGCTGGGTGCGGGCAAAGGCCACCAGCTCTGGGGACTCTGTCCCTCCAGCCTCACCAGCTGCTCCAGCCGCCGCTCCCAGCTGGGCCGCCTGCTTGGACAGCTCCAGGCCTCGGCGGTACTGCGCCTGGGCAGGGAGACGGGATGTCCCCTGGGTTCCCACGTGGGGGCCTCCCCAGAAGCCAGTCGCCTCCCACTGCCCACAGCTGAGCCTGAGGCTGCTGAGCCTCGGTTTCCCATCGGTGGGGGGGGCGATGGCACCCGTCCCGCAGGGCCTGGCTCCTGGGGCGGGACAGGAGGAGCAGGGAGGACGCTGGACAGCCCCAGGTCTTAGCTTTGGCAGTTCAGTTCACTTCCTTCTGGAAAGTTCTCTGACCTCACACCCGGGTCAGAAGTGCCCGCATGCCCTCAGTGTCCCCAGTTCTCCCTGTTGGCTCCCCTGCCTGTCTCCCAGCCCCATCCGTCCTCCACGGGCTTGAGAGCTCCCTGCTGGGACAGGCCCCGGGCTCAGCTTGTCAACGGCACAGCTTGTTGGCCCTGCTCTCTGAGGCCGACAGCAGGTCAGGGCAAGACCCCGGAATCTGTATCTTAAGACCCCCTGGGATTCTAAGTATTCTTTGGGTGTGGTGGTCTGGGAGGGCCTCCCGGAGGAGGTGGCATCCAAGCTGACCCTTTGGGGGCTTGGATGTCACCTCTGTGAGTTTTCTTGCACTGTCCTGCCTCCACCTCTTGGCCCCACCAGGGCCACCCCCTCTAAGGCCCTATCCGCCCACGCCCGTCCTGCTCCGGGTTCTCCCAACGCACTGCAGCCTGAAGGAAGAAGTCCTCAAACTCCGCGTGGGCCCTCTCCACCGTCTGCAGGCCTCCGTCCTTAGGGGCAAGCGCTTGCAGGCACTGGCTGCCTTCCTGCTCCATCCAGTTGCTGACCTGGGGCAAGGACACAGGTTTGGACTTGAGGGGCTTCTAGGGAGACATCCCTCTGCCGGCTGCCTGGTTCCCTGGGAGGCCAAGGTCCTCCTGCACTGTCACCAGCCTGGTCTCAGCCCTCCTGATTCCGGGCAGGAGCCTGGGGGAGGCAGGGCATGAGGCCATGTTCTTCAAACATCTGAAGGGGACAGGACCCCCAAGCAGGGCCCTGGTGGGGAACTGGCCTGGCCAGCACCCTGCACATAGTAGGCCCTCAGTGCACACGGGGTGGGGATGACGTCACAGGGTGGCGAGTCTCGGCTTCGTCTAACCACTCACTGCTGCCCAGCCATAAAAGGGACAACCTCAGGGGTGATAAGCTCCTCGTCCCTGGGGGCCAGAAAAACGCTGGAGAAGCAGCCGCCAGGGGCAGGGGAGGGCCCACGGGCCGGCCATGAACTCCCTGGGCAAACGGAGCTCGTCACTGCCCGCTTCTGGCCTCAGCTGATCAATGGGAACAGGGTGGGCGTGGAGATTCAGAGGGGCCAAGGGTGCAGGGGGACTCTAGACCCCATGGGTGGAGGCTCCTCTCTTACTCTGGGGTGTCTTAAGAGCACATACTGACTCGCTCAGCCCCTGAAGCCCAGGGTGCCAGGCACTAATATCATCCCCAATTAAGAGGCGAGGACACAGAGGCCCCAATAGTGAGGTCATCCGTAGGCACCCGAGCCAGGCCATCTCTAGGGCAGTGGGCGCAGCCCCGGGCAGGAAGGGTGCACTGGTTCTAGGCACCGGCAGCCAGACCAAGTGGTGCTGTGCAGGTTCCCAAGTCAGACCCGTGTGCGACGTGGCGGGTGGCGCACCCCCAGCCTCAGTGTCCTCGCCTGTGCAGTGGGGAGGCCCTAGCTGACCTGGGGCAAGGACATAGGTTTGGACGTCCTCATCATGGGCAAGAGATGAAGTTAGAAAGTGATGAGGTACACAGAGGCTCTTGGCACACAGTTGGTGCTCAATAAGTGCAGCTCTTGCCATTATGTCTTTACCCTTTAAGAACTTATTAATTGCTATGTCATGTACCTTGCCCAAGGGACACCAGTCCTTGCTTCAGCACTAAGCGTCTGGCTGGGGTCGGCCTGGGGAGGGCAGCCTGGCAGAGCCCCACCTCCCAGCCAGCCTCCCTTTTCACCTGGAGGATGGCGGCTTCCAGGTGGCCCAGGCGGACGCGGAGCTCCAGCCTCCCCAGGAGATGGTTGGAGGCGGTGACCAGGACGTGAAGCTGCTCATCCACAAGGCCGTACAGGGCAGCAGCCTCCGCCAGGTGGCTCCTGGGAGGCAGAGGAAGGTAAGAGAAGCCCACGTGCCCTCCCACCCCATCCTGTGCTCCTGCCCGGCACAGGCCTGCCCCTAGCTCTGTGGCCCTCCTTGGGCTCCCAGCTGCTGGCCCACCGTGTGGCCATAGGCAGGTCCCTGCGTCTCTTTGGGCCTCAGCCTTGGAACCTAAGAGCTTCAGTGGGATCAGGAGGACTGGGGGACACAGCAGGAAATGAAAAGGCCCTCCTTCTTCCGGAGGAAGCCAGCTGAACAGACCTGGGTTCGAATCCCAGCCTTTTGATGGGACCTCGGGCAAACTTCTCCACCTTCCAGTGCCTCTGTTTTCCCATCTGTAAAGTGGGAATAGTAACAGAACCCACTTCACAGTGTGGCTGTGAGGACTCAATGGTAGAAAGCCTGGGTTCTCCATGCCAGCTACACCCCAGAGCCTGCCCCAGGAGCTTTGAGAAATCTCAAAGCCCACGTTGTACCCCAAGCCAATGAAGTTGGTTTCTGGGTGAAGCCGGAACATGGGGTGCTTTCTAAAGCTCCTCGGGACCTCTAGAGAGCCGCAGAGAGAACCATCCTCAGGCACATAAAGCTCGTGACAGGTATTGGCACCCGTGATGTGCCCCGGCATGGGGTGCATGGGGTGCATGGGCAGCCCCGGCACCTTCACAGAGGGGAACACAGGAGTCCAGAGAGGGCAGGGACTCTCATGGCATCTGAACTGAAAACAGGCCAGGGCTGCTTCTGCAAGGACTTTTTAAACATGGCCGAAGACCTGAAAGGAGGGCGGGATGGGGTTCCGGGCATGGCGACCCTGGATGTGGGAGGAATCTCAAATCCCAGCCGCTCCCCTCTGCCCTGGAGCATCTGTCCGTCTTTAGGAGGAAGGAGGAACACAGTAGAGAGCCTGCTTTGCAGGAGGGAGCTCTGCTTTGCGGGGCCCCACACCTGACTGCAGCCCCCCAGGTGGCCACCTTGCAGGCCGAGGGGTGACGGTGCTTAGGGGACTCTAAACGCCAACCCGGAGCCGCAGGAGGGAGGAGGCGGGGCTGCAGCGCCTCGCGCAGGGCCACAGCGCCCCCTGGTGGGGCTTCCCTCAGCCAGAGGTCTGCAGAGACCGAAGGTGGACAGGAGGGCCCAGCTGCAGAGGTGTGGCAGGTGCATGCTGGGAAAGACAGCGCCAGCCCCACTGGGCATTGCGAGGGGCAGGGAGGTGTCCCTACACCTGGCGCCAGGACCGACTGCTGCCAGCGCTCCCATCTGCCTAAACATGCCCTGAGTCCGTGGAAGCCACTCAATGCCATGAGATTCTGAGACCAGGCTGTGTTCAAGTCCTGGCCCCACCACCTCCCAGCTGTCTGACCTTGGGTTAGTTACTTAACCTCTCTGTGCCTCAGGCTCCTCGGCTGTCACAAGGATGTTACTGGGCTCTACCTCAGCAGTGGGAATTAAATGAGTTCATGTTCGTAATCCCTTAATGCTACCGAGGTGCTGGTTCAATAAACAAATTGTTCCTAAAAGCTTATGCAAACTTTTCACTTGACTTCAGCATATAAGTAGTTGTGTCCTAATGGAGAAAAACCTTCCAATTACTGAGCAATGTAATTACAGTTTGAATGTCCCTTCGCCTGGGACCAAAGTGTTTCAGATTCTTTTGAAACTTTCTATAATGTTTGCCTATACATTATGAGCTACCCTGGAGGAGGGGACCCGGGTCTAAACACGAAATTCACACCTTCCATGTTGCCGGAAGGCAATTTTATAAAACATTTTAAATAGTTTTGCCCATGAAGCAAAGTTTCATAATGTGGAATTTTCCACTTGTGCTCAAAATGCTTCAGATTTTGGCGCATTTTGGATTTATTTCTTTTTTTTTTGGATTTATTTCTGATGTTCAGATTAGGGAGGCCCCGTCTAAACTGGATGGACTTTTCCCCTCTCTGTAAACTGAAGAAAGCCGGTGCTTTCCTGGGGTGTCTGTCATTTATCCCAAGGCTCCCCCGAGACCCCTGACAGCCATGAGATTCTTGGGCCGTGTCGGGCAGCTGGCTGGGAGGGCAGGGCCCGTCCTGGCTTTGGGTCCCCAGGGGGCCATCTTTGGCTGCTAATTCACTTGGCTGAGCCTCGGTCACCATCCCCAGATGAGGCTGCTCTGGGCCTCACAGGGTTCTTGCCAGGAATAAATGAGATGGGCTTTGGAGGGGCTCAGCCCAATGTCTGGGCCAGAAAAGGGCTTGGTCCATGGGGGTGAGCAGAAACAGGGAGGCGAGGTCCCCCTGAGGGCCACGGAGGAAAGGGGGCCCATGACTGGGCCTCCGGCCAAACCAGACCCCTGGGAGGCCTGGTCCTGGGCTTCCATGGGCCCTGGCTCCTCTGAGTCCCAGGCTCGGGGAGGAGGAGGGCCTGGGCGTCTGTACCTGACATCAGGGTTGGAGTCCAGTCTGCTGGCCTCACGCTGCAGCCCGGCCAGGGTGGCTCCACCTTCCCGCTGCAGACCCAGCAGGCCCGGGTCCTTCAGCACCGCCTCCATCAGCTCCTTGGACTTGCTCAGGCACCTGGCAGCGTCCTGCCAGCAGAGGGAGGGGTCCTGAGGCTCCATCCCCACTCCCCCTCCACAGCCCCCGACCCCAGACCAAGCCTCACTTCCTTAGTGTGGCATCTGGGCTCCTCCACAAAGTCTCAGCCCCTCAAGCCACACCCCTCTCACCACCATGGCAACTCCCACCATCCTCCAAGCTCCCTCTCTCTTTGGGACACCCATTCCAGCCTCTGCTGGTCCCCCTACAGCCAGTTCCCCAGAGCAGTTACAAGGATGGGAAAGTGCAGATGGTCATCCCCTATCAAAACTCCTGGGTGACTCTCTGTCTGCTCAAGATGGAGTCCCAGCCCAGTGTGTGGGTCCAGCCTGTGCTGGACCTACAAGATCCTCCAGAGCTTCTCTTCTCCTTCCCTTTGACTCACTCAGCTCCACAGTGACTCCAGCTTCCTGCACGCCCCAAACAGCACCCTGCCCCAGGGACTTTGCACCCGTTGGTTCTCTGCCTGGAGCAAGGTCTCCCTCCAAAGCAGACTCCTTGAATTTCAGGCCTCAACTCAAATGCACCTCTCAGAGAGGCCCTCCCTCCTCCGTCTGTTCTCGGTCTTCATGGTAGTTTGGCACAATTGGCAACTGCTGGTCTATTTCTTTGCTTATATTTGGAATGACCACCTCTGCCCCGCAGCATGAGCCCCACCAGGGCAGAGGGGAGTCTGCTGGCCCCAGGCTGAGGCCCCAGTGTGCGACACATCACGGGAGCCCAGCAAACACTCATAGAGTGAATGAACAAGACAGGGACCATGACGCCCTCCCTCTGTCCCCTTCACTGAGCCCGGGGTCCGTGAGTCTGGGGGTGGTGAAGCTCCGCTCCAGGCTCACCTGCACCCCCCCAGGGGGGTCCCCCTTCTCCAACGCCTCGATGGAAGCCCGTAGCAGAGCCGAGGCCTGGCGCAGGTCGGCAAGGAAAGGGTCCATCTTCTGCAGGACAGAGTCCAGGGCGGGCTGTCAGCCTGGGCCAGGCGGGAGGACGTCCCCCGCCACCCAGGAGGACCCGGGGGCATTAGGCAGCAGTTCCCAAGCTTCAGATGCCTCAGAATCATCTGGAAGGATAGTGAAATGGACTTCCAGGACCCGTGCTGAGCTTCCTGCTGAGGTCCCCTCGGGCAGAGCAGGAGAGTGCCTTGTAGACAGTCCCCAGGCCACATTACTGCTGCTGGCCTGGGAGCTGGGGGGACACTTTGGGAACCACTGGTATTGGGAATGAGAGAGGGAGGAGAAAGAAGAAAAGAAAGAGACGCTCCCAGAGCCTTGTGAGGAGGGGGAGACAGGAAGTAAGAGGACAGGATCAGGGGGACATCCTTGGCTTGGTCCCACTTCAGCCCAGCTCTGCCACTCCTAGCTGTGAGACCTTGGGCAAGTTACTTAACCTCTCTGGGCCTTCTCTTCCTCCTCTGTTGAAATGAGGGCCACAGGAGTTCCTGCTTTGTAGGGTCGAGTGAGGATTGGATGGACTCACTTGGGAAGCCACTTAGAATAGAGCCTACTGGACATCGTCATCGATGTTGGATTCTGGGTCTCCGGGTCAGATTCATTTAAAGGAAAGTTCTGACTGCTGAAGTACAAATTCAAAAGCCCCCGGAGAAGGGAACTGGGAACCTGGGGATGAGTAGGAAAGGAGATTCCTCGGCACATGTCACCTGAAATCGGAATGTACAGTCACTGTTGGGGATCTGTGGGGGAGTCCAGGACCCCGTGGACAGCAAGCTCCACAGGTAGGAGTCCTTATGTAAGGTGGCATGGTGGTGGCACATAATCTGTGCACATTCTTCTGTGTGCTTAAATCACCCGACGTCACCTAGGATCTCTGCCACGCTGGAACCCTCTGTAAACAGCTGTTTCGCAGCGCGGTTTAGGGAGTAATGACAAGGAAACAGCCTGTGTGTGTTCACTGCAGGGACAATGTTTTCCCCCAGTATGTTCATTCCACAGCTGGCCAAGCCCAAGGTGGGGACTCCAGGGTGTGCGGGGCCACCCACTGCCCGCTCCAAACCAGACGTGATTTTGAAGAGGCTGCCTCCTGAACAAACAGAAACCGCTGGGAGAGAGGGTGACCTGACCCCAGGGAGACTCAACAATGTCTGGGGACACTTTTGAGTGCCATTAATTGTAGGGAGAGGCCACACACACCGCAGGGCCACTAAACACACCAGAGTACACAGGGCAGCTCCCAACAGAGAGGAACGGCGGCCGGGTGGGAACAGGCTAAGGTGGAGCGGCACTAGGTGGGAGGGCCCTGGGCAGTGGCAGGGTTTGTGGGCAGTGGCTTCTCCATGTTCTGAGCGGAGGATCGGGGCTGTCCTGGGGAACCCCTCCCGGTGTGTCCTCAGGTGTTAAATTGGGCAGAAATGCCCCCTCACAGGGGTGTGCTGGGAGGGATCGTGGCTTGCAGGAAGGAGCCGAGCACTGGCCGTTCCCTTATTTCCTACCCCATATAGGAGGGAGCTCCTCCGCCTCCCCCACAGACCTGCAGTTCCCTGAGTTGTGTAGGTCTGCAGAACAGACACCTGTCATTTGTTTTCAGCTAACACATAGCTCTCAGCATGTGACAGACACTTGCCTAAGCCCTTTACTTATATTAATCCAGTTCACACAAAAACCCCATGAAGAGGTACTATTGTTTCCCCTTGCATTTTTGCTGATGGAAACCAAAGCTCAGAGAAGGTGAGTAACCTACCCAAAGTCAAACAGCCAGAGCTGAATCAGAACTCAGGCAAGCTGGCCCTGCTGAGCCCTTACTCATTCCACTCTCCATCTTCAAGGTAAACATCCGTTTGAACCTGACAGGGTTGGTGGCTCCGTGGGGCAGGATTGTGAAGGAGAGAAGAGAAGGAGGGACAGGGCTAAAGGCTGTAATGGTAGACACCTGGAAGAATTGCACCCACTCGCTGTGACAGTAGGGGAGGGGGCCTTCCAGGGCAGCTGGCAGCTGACTGGGGTCCACGTGGTGGCTGAGGGCCTTCAATGAGGTCAGCACCTCCATCTGCAGACAGAAGAAGTGAGTCAGGAGGACCAGAGGGTTCACTGTGGGAACAGACTTTGAAAAGGTCCCACCTAGATCCCTGCCCCGGCACCAGTTCGTCTTCCAGAGGGAAAGTGCAGAGTTGCTCTCTGGGCACCCGATCTCTCTGGAAGCTCTGATCAATCACAATCCAGAACCAGACCCGGGTTAAGACAGCAGCTCCACAGCACTGGGACGGCCGGTCGCTGGCCTGTGCCTGAGGCAGACGTCGCTAATCAATCGCAGTGTTTGTTCCACCTGAGCTTGGCTCTTTCCCAGCTTTGGGGGGCAATCACACAAACTGATTGCAGCGGGTCCCGTGATGAGTCTTCCCTAGAATCCTTGCATTGTTCTCTAGTGACCTGCCAAGGCTGATGAGAAAGGCACCAAAGCCTAACAGTGTCCCCAAAGATCTGGGGAAGGGACAAGGTGACATTGAAGTTTCAGGCTTATCCTGGGGACAGCTCTAGATACCCAGGCTTGGGGTGGGGTGGAGTCTGCAGGGTTTGGGGCCCATCTTCCATCCCTGATCATCAAAGGGGGCTGTGGATCAGCAGCACCTTGGAGCACACTAGAGACGCAGGACCCCAGGCCCCACTCAGAGCCTAGGTTTTGACGAGATCCCTAAGAGATTTGTCCTGCCTGGGTCCCTGACCTGATACCAGGCCACTTCCCACAGGGTAGGCGGCTCCTCAGCGTCGGAGTTGTTGCTGAGAAACCAACCTCCACAATCCAGGCACACCCAGGGCTGAGGAGTACAGCCTCCAGCTCACACTGTGCCTCTACTGATCAGGAAGCAGGGGCCTTTTGAACCGTTTCTGAAGTGGGGCAGAGGCTGGGGTACAGTACTAATTAAAGGGAGCTCAGGGCTCTCCTGCCACGTTCCCAATCAACTCCAGCTGTATTCATTAGGGAAAGAAGCACAATCAGAGCCAGGCACAGTGGTGCACACCTGTCATCCCAGCGGCTCGGGAGGCTGAGGCAGGAGGATTGAGAGTTCAAAGCCAGCCTCAGCAACTTAGTGAGGCACTAAGCAACTCAGTGAGACCCTATTTCTAAATAAAATATTTAAAAGGGCTGAGGATGTGACTCAGTGGTTAAGTGCCCCTGGTACTTAACCCAGTACCAAAAAAAAAAAAACCCACAAGCAGAGCCGAGACAGCGTGGATGAGGCCCTGGGCCTCGGGTCAGGAGATGCTGCTCTGTCTGGTTTGCTGGGTGGCCGTCTGCCTGATCTCCCCGTCTGGAGACAAGGGATGGCCTGACTAGGCGAAACTTCAAGTAGGTTCCATGTCACGTGCGGCTCCCCGTCACGTGGCAGTGTCCACCAGGAGTTGCTGGGGTAGCCAGAGGGAATGATCCAGTGATGGTTGGGTGATGTCTGCCACAGAGGCAGCCTGGAGAGGGGCAGCCCCAGCCCTCGCCCTTCTTCCCCTACCCTAGATCATTTCAAGGCCTGACCTGTCCACTCTGCGATTCTCCATCTTCTCTACCCCCACTCAGCTCCAGCCCAACAACCCCCTCCTCAACTGCCCGAGCGGCTTCCTGCTCACCTGGACGTCAGGTAAGGCCTGCAGCTGGAGAGCATCCTCCTTCTCCCCCAGGAAGAGCAGGCGGCGGAACGGGGCCGGGGCCAGAGCCTGTCAATGAGAACTGCTTCAGGCTGCTCTGCCCGAGCCTCCCCTCAGCCTCCCATCCCTCTATGGCCTCTCCCGCCCTGGAAAGACAGGCAAATGCGTCCCATAGTGGCCAGGGTGGGAGTGACTGCGTGCTGCCTGGAGGGAGGAAGCACTCCAAGTGCAGAGAGCAGCAGGCCCAGGCTGCGTGCGCTGCAGGCTTCCTGGATGCCCTGCCCCACCCGCCTCAGTCGGCCCGTCTATGAAGGAGGGCTCAGACCTGAGCATGTGGCAAACCTCCACCGCCCCTGCTGCCCGGGGTCAGCTGGGACTCTCCTCCCTCCTGCCCGCTCTGGGATGAGGTTTTGGTACCCGAGGCTAGGCCCTGGGATTCTCTAATGGCTGGACGTCTGAACCAGAGAGACACAAGAAACTTGCTGGACTCTGGGGAAATAATCTCTCACTCTTTTCTGCTGGATGTAAGTGAGAGACCATGGGAACTTAGAGCTGCAGGGACCCTATGGCCGCCCGAGGGGGGTTGTCAGAGATGGCACCCTCCCAGGAGGACAGGGCCAGAGATGGGGAGAAGGGATGGTCTGGTGACAGTGTCGGAGCCCTTGTATGGAGACCTACCGAGCTGGACTGGACTCCTGGCTTGTCCAGCTACATGAACCAATGAAGTCCTTTTGACTTAAAGCTCATTAGCCCTGAGCTGTTAGCAGTCCCTGGTTCCAACCCTGAGCCTGCCGCATGCTCCAAGCATGTCAGAGGCCCCAGGTGACCCCAAGGCTGGCAGGGCTGGGGCACTCTGTCTGTATTCACCTGGGTGGCCTGCAGGGCGCTGACCAGATCAGGCTGTGGGGGCTGATTCCTGGCATCGACCACGACCACCAGCCCCTTGGCTTTATCTTCGGGCCTGTGGTTGGAAAACAGTATGATGTCTCGCTGGGCAGCCCTGGGGGCTCTCCAGGTGGCAAGACCAAATGGAAGGCCGCAGAAACTGGCTGTTGGGAGTCTTGACTCAGTGGTGAATGGCCTACCCTGCAGGGCCAAGCCCCAGGTCTCCCTGCTGGAAGCCCCCCCTTTCTCTTCCAGGAGAGCCCACTGCCTCTACCGCAGGCCCCCGCACTGGCCCATGCATCCTCTCCCAAGGCCCAATAGTCCTAAAGATAGTCACTTATAAAGTTGGAGTGGGTCACCTGAGGTGAAACCTCATTTAATTCAAGAATCCCACTCCCCCAGGGGTTGGCTTCTGGTTGGTGGAGGCCAATGAGTGACCCTATTTCTCTGGGCAGTGACTGGTCTAGATGGAGATCATGTGACATATCTCTGCCCAATGAGATGAGAGGGCAAATTCCCTGGGGCCTTTGGAGAAAGACATTCTCTCCTTTGAACAGTTCTTACAAAGAGCTGTGAGGCGGAGACTCAGACTGATACCTTTGCTCATCAGACCAGACGTTTTAAATTGCAATCGGTTCCCCATGGCCAACACACCCCTGGGCTGAGCTGACGGGGGCTACGCTCCATCGTTTACACCAGGACTTCCCAGACTGGCCCGAGTGTCCGCATTTGTTAAAATAAGGATTCCTCATCCCACCTCCTCCCCTGTCCCCCAAGACAGTTGGCAGCAGGTACAGGGTGGGTCTGGGTGATTGCAAGTGCCCTTGGTCACTCCGATGATCAGGAAGGTGATCATAACCCAACTGCCTCAACTCTTCCAATCATCCAACTCACAGACAAAACCAGAGGTGGCCCCGTGTGGGTGCTGAGCTGTGGCATTGCCTTTAGTATCTGGTGACCTAGACGCGTTCTTGTACCTCTCTGAGTCAGTTGAATAATAATGGTACCAGCTTGAGGGGGCCTCGTGGGGACAGATGAGGTCATTGATATCATGCACCCAGCGACTGTGCACCACAGGAGAGATGTAATTTTTTTTTTTTTTACAAAACTTTGCCATTGTTACTGTCCTAAAAGGGGAAACCGAGGCACAGGAGGCAAAGCAGTGGCCAGCAGGGAGAGTCTCTGGGAGGTGACACCAGGTCCCTGACCTCCCGTCCCACACCTTGCCCGTCTCTGGCTAGGCCCCTGCCGGAACAGTGACTCATTCCAGACCTGTCTCTGCCTGGAGCCTGGAGGCCCCTCGAGGACAGGGCCTGTTGGGAGACTCCTCAGGTCCCCAGCACCATCCAGCATAAAGCTGGGCCCTGAGCAGGTGTCTCACCAATGTTTGTTCAGAGCACAAATGGAAAGGCCAGCTGTGCAAGGGACCAAGAAGTCCCCAAGGCACAATTCCCTCCCCTGACACTGGGACCCCCCCTTGGTCCTCAGAACCCACTGGCCTTCTCCTTCTGTCAGGAGAGCCTCAGAGAGGAGAAGGTACTTCCCCAAGGTCACACAGCAAATCAGTGGGACACCAGGCCAGAGGAAGAAAAACCTCAGTGGCCAGCAGGTGGCAGTACTGACTCCCTGCATGAAAGAAGGTCCCCAAGGGTGCCCTGGGTCCCTCACCCTACCCCCCCCCGCAGTGAACCTTCAGGTGGGGTGGGGGGTCTGTGCACAGTCCCAAGGCTCTACTCTAAGGCTGCCCTGGCTGGGGGCTGGTCTCAGAGGGAAGGACATGGCTCTTCCCAGCCAGGCGGACATGGAGTCTGAGGACAGGGGGGTGGGGGGTAGCAGTGAGAGGAAGGGAGTTGGAGACCAGCCTGGACCCCCACCTCACTCACATTCATGCTTTAATTCTCTCCCTCCTCCCTCCCTCCCTCACCCACCCCTTCACATTTTCATCAGATATTTATCTTTCAGATGCCAGTTCAATTATCACCTCCTCAGGGAAACCTTTTCTGATTTGCTAATTGAAAGTAGCTCTCCAGGCCCCTCCCCCACACTATAACAGTGGTTCTCAAAGTGTGGTCCCTGGTGTGACCAGGTGACTGATCAGAAACGCAGCTCCCCAGGCCCCCCACCCCAGACCCACTGAATTGGAAACGGGAGGTGGGGCCCAGCAATCTGTTTTCACAGCCCATCAGGGGAGTCTGAGGCGAGGGGTTCTCAAGTTCAAACACCAGGGACCGTCAACGTCCCTCTGTTTCTACACCATGTTCTGGAAAGTCACCTGTCCATCCCTCCCCCCCTCCACCTTGGGAGTCTCCCCGTGGCGGGGTTGAGAGGGTGGAGGTGGAGCGGTCAGGCGGCCCGGCCCTTACCTGGGGATGCCGCACAGGTAGGAGAGCAGCTTGGTGACCTCGGAGCCCGAGCACCACGGTGCCTCCCAGGCTGCCTCTGCGGTCGACACCAGAAGCAGGGGCCGCCCCTTCCTGTCTCGACTGCCTGGAGGACAGAGGACACCCTTGAGCAGAGCCCTTGCCTGTGGGACCCCCTCTGTGGCCTCCATGCCGGTCCCCCTGCCTGGAGTGCCCTTTCTCTTCTCCTTCTGTGAGCTGTGAACCCCTCACCCATCAAAGACCCAGCCTAAAAGTCACTTCCTGAGAGCAGCCTTCTCTGAACCCCTCTCCACAGAGGAGGTGGCTGACTCCCCTGGGACCATCCTGCGGACAGGGGACCCTGGGAGGCAAAGCCTGTGGGGTGAGCTCTGGAGTCACAGGGACAGGGGCTCCCGTCCTGGCTTGGCATGGACTCTGCGTGTCCTGGGGCAAGTTCCTGCATCTCTCAGCCTCGGTTTCATCTGTTCCATGAGACAAATGAAACTCCGAGCTGATGAGGTTATTTTGAGGATCAAGTGAGACAGTTCCTGAGAGACTGTCGCACCAGGGATCCCCGAGAGGCAGCTGTGCTGTGAGCAGCGTCTCTGTCCCCTTCTCCAGCCAGGCTGTCAGCCTTGGGACCTTGGCAGGCTGTGTCCTGCCCGGGGATCTGGGCTGGGTGCCTCACTCTTCCTGTGGGGGTCATGAGGCCAATGAGGACACAGGGGGAGGGCACAGTGAAGAAAGAAATATCTGTTCAGTCACCACGTCCATGTGGCGCTGTGTCCTGTCAGTCCCAGCAAATTGATGCATGATGTCTCCCCTGTGGCCTCTGGCCCAGACTGGCTCCTCTGTCCCTGTTCCCTGCCCTCTATATAAGCGTGTCCCCCACCCTGGGTTCTCACAGCAAACACAGGCTTCTGTCACATCCTGCAGGGAGTACCCTGGGTCAAGCTCTCTGCTGCTTCCCGGTGCTCAGCACGACGCGGGCTCACACCCTCCAAGCCTGGGACCAGTGAAGGCAGGGTTAGCATAGTGCTTTCCAAATCCCGCGTGCCTGGGGCTCTTGCCAGAACTCAGACCGTCACTCAGCAGGTCTGACTCTGCATCTCCTCCAAGCTCCAAGGTGAGGCCCAGGTTGTTGGTCCCTGGGCCACACTTTGAGTAGCGAAGGGTCCGAGCACCCAGGATGTTCTGTCATGGAACACTGTGATTGAGACTAATTCATGTGACTTGTTTCCCATCAAACTCTGCCTGAAACAGGGCTCTGCACACAGCCAGTGCTGCCTGAGTTGAATAGAATGACAAGCAGCTGTCCCCGTGATTTGCTTTTGACTGGGCCAAGGAGACCTCTTTGCCCCAAATGTTGCCCTGGCCTGACAACTGGTGCCAGAAATGCCATCACGGTCACCTCAGAACCCTAGATTGAAGTTGTGATATCCACCCTGGGTTCTGCATCTCAGATGGAAATGGGAAGGGCAGGTTGGGACAGGGGTGGGCAGGGGGCTACCCACAGCCACCGGAAAACCTGTTGTACCTTTTGACAGCGTTCTGTGCCGAGGGTGGGGGAGAGATGGCAGATAATGGAATGAGCAAGCAACTTAGAACATTCACACGGGAAGCAAGGGTGAATGGATTCTTAAACAGAGCACCACGGGGCTGAAATGATGAAGACCAAAGGTCCAAGGCAGGTCTAGAGCACTGAGGTCTCAGGGCGAGGCCAAGATCAGGGACCCCTTCACTCTCTTTGGCATTAGGAATGAGAAGTCACCGGTGACCTGGACGAAACCTGCCTCGGCGTCGAGGTGGGGAAGGAATCCTGCGTAGAGTGAGTGGAGAGGAGAGAGGGTGCAGGGACAGGGAGCACGGCCACTCCTGCGTGGAGTTCCCATGTGAGAGAAAGAGGGGACAGTGACGATGTTGGGGCTTGAGGGGGTCCTGGTAACCGGGCAGGGCTCTGGGTATCCTGGTGCTGGTGGCAACGGAGGCGGGAGGGGGACCAGGTGAGGTGGTGGAAGGGTGTCTCAAGTAGGGAAAGAGGGGCAGTGCCCCGGGGGTGGGCCTCAGATAGGAACACAGAGGACAGTCCCCAGAGGTTTGCTGCGTCTGTGGCCTGGATGTGGTGGGCAGGTGACTATGGTAGCTCAGTGAGACCCGAAGGAAGGTCACCAGCTGAAAGTGCAGTTGGGTATGGGGGGGGGGCACTGACGGTCAGAGGAGAGAAGTCACTGGCTCAGGATGGTGAAAGGTCACTCAGGACCCAGGGTGGAGGAGGGTCCATGTGACCCACCAGGTGGTGTGACTTTCCCAGCTTTGTCCAGTGGCAGGGGTAGCAGGTGGAGAGTTTCCGGGGCTTCTCCAGGTAAGGGTGAAGGGGACACAGAAAGGCAAGGGAGTCGAGAGCCATCGAGAGGAAGCGATTATAAGGATGAGCAGGGCGTCTAAGCTGCAAAGGAGCAACCGAGGACATGTTGGCCACTGGGGGGACACAGTGAGAAGGCGGCTGGGAGGATAGGTTGAAGTTTGGGGAGCAGGAGGATCCAAAGATAATTAAGATTGGGGCCGTGGGTGAGACAGTAGAGTAGGAATCTCAACATTGAAAGCAGGGAGGGAGCAGCTAGTGATGGGGGATGGCCATGGGAGTTGTCACTGGGGGACAAGGACAGGATCCCTGGAGAAGAGAAGGCCAAGGGCAGTCAAAGGCGGGAGCAGAGGAAGCATCCACATGGGTGCTGTTCACTCATCATCATGTCCCTTCTGAGCACATACTGTGTGCCAGGCACTTGGGACCCAGCTGTGTGTGCTGCAGTCCCCAAGAATTACAACACAGGTAATGTAGCAAAAGTGACAAGGAGCCAGGTTCTTTCTGAGGCCCAGAGAAGGCAAGCTACTTCTCCAAGGTTACCCAAGGAGCTGACCATAGAGTTGGAACTGAAACCAAGTTCTTCTAACCCTAACCCTAACCCTCCATGAACAAAAGCCGAGCTCTTGGAACATGGCAGCCCCAGAGAATGGTGAGATCCCTGTGGGCAGTTCACATGGGAACAAGCGACAAAAGTTCCAATCAGAGTGACCAGAAGGACAGACAGTGCCCACCAGGAGCTGTGAACCAACAGGTGGTGCCCAGGATCCTGCAGAGATGTAGAAATCTCTGAAGGAAAATAGAATTGCAGGAGAGTCAGTTCCCCAAAAGCACTGAGGTCTCCGGTGTCCCTAGACCTTGGCACATGCTGTTCCCTCTGTTTGGAACGCTGTTCCAACACTTCACCTGCTCACTGCCCACTCACACTGTACAATTGCATTTTATATCACTTAACTTGTCCCAGCAGAAGCCTGAGCCAGGGCCCCATCTGTGCTCCACAGGGGCTGGACTCCTCATGGTTCTAATTCTCTTATGTCAGGTTTTAATAAGCTGTTGAATTTTCTCTACCACTAGAATATAAGTTTCCTGAGGACAGACAGTACATCAGACTTGTTCCCTAATAAATCCCCAGTGCTAAGCCCAGAGACTCAGTTAATATTTACTGCACAAATATTAAACAGAAATAATAATACTTTCAGTATTGGATATTGATAATGCCTCACCCAAAACCCTTTGGTAGGCAGAGGACTCATCCCCCAGAGGCTGGAAGTATTGGCAATTAATGGCTTATAGGTGCCTCCTTCTCAAGAATTGCCCTTGGCTGAACTAGATCACTGGCTTACCCTGCATCTATACCCAGGATCAGCATGCAGTTAATGACTGACAGATCCAGGATCAGCCTGCAGTTATTGACTTCAGATCCAGGATCAGCCTGCAGTTAATGACTACAGATCCAGGATCAGCCTGCAGTTAATGACTGACAGATCCAGGATCAGCCTGCAGTTATTGACTTCAGATCCAGGATCAGCCTGCAGTTAATGACTACAGATCCAGGATCAGCCTGCAGTTAATGACGACAGATCCAGGATCAGCCTGCTGTTAGTGACTACAGATCCAGGATCAGCCTGCAGTTAATGACTGTCATTCAGGCTCCAGAGCTCCCTGTGGGGGTCAGACCACAGCTTGCTCATCTTTGTCTTGGGCTGCACTTCTAGGGAACCCAGCTCTATCTTAGCTGCCTCACTGAGATTTGAATGGATGGGCAGGTGAGTAGATGGCTAGAGGATAGACACTTAGGAATTGCTTTCATCTAACCCAAATCCTTCCCTGGAAAGGTGAGGAAGCAGGCCCAGGGAGGCTGGGGCCAGAACACTGGCCTCCTGGGCTTTCCCGACCTCCTCTCCACCCACCCGTGTCTGAGGACGCTCTGGGACTTCCAGCTCCCTCCCGTCTCCCTCCGCTTCCCCGCTAGTCCCCCGGGACCTGGCAGGCATGCTATCCTGGAGTGGAAAACCTCGACACCCAGGGCTCCAGTCCTGGGCACGGGCCCAGGGGACTCTTCCTGCAGGCTGGGGCCTCTTCCTGGGTGGCCTTCAGAAGGTTCCGAGAAGCCAGCCTCTCCCCCAGTCTGTGGGTCTGAGTCAGCGGGAGGGCCAGATGTTTTGGTGTGAGTTGTTCCATCTGGGGAAAAGCAATAACAAAGTAAAGGATGTGAAGCAGAAGATGGATTTTTCTGAGGCGAAATGTTTTGTCTTCTACCCTGGAATGGACAATAGAGCTTACATGTATTGACCTACTACATGCCAGGCCCTGTGTAAGAGCCTTATTTCTAGTATCTCTTTGAACCATTAAAGCATCTCTATCAAGAAGATGAGATCCCCATCCCACAGAGAGGGAAACCTGAACTCAGAGAGGTTAAGTACCTAGCCGAGGTCACACAGCCAGTGCATGGCAAAGTTAGGATGTGAACTTGGGCAAGTGAATCCCAGGCCCGAGAGCCTTCCAGCCCTAGCATGCTACACTAAACCTCTGAAGCAAAGCCAGCCCAGTGGTCCCTGCCCCTCACAACCAGAACCACCCTGTACCCCGGTCTCAGAGTACCCAGATGATAGCTCCCTGTCCAGCGGAGCACGGGGCAACTTACCTTTCCCTGGGGATTTGGCTCGGGAGGGTTTAGGAGGGTAGAATGAGCACAGGGCTCTCCAAGGCCCATCCTGCTGGAGCGAGGCTTTCTCCGCGGGCACCGGGGATTGCCTCTGCCCTTTCAAGAAGGAGACTTTGAGTCTGGGAATGGGAGACCTGGAGGAGGAGGTGTTTCGGCTGGAGCGCGTCGTGGGCTGGGGATGTCTCCCACTTTCTTGCTTGGTCTTGTCCATATTTGTATCAGAGGCTGGGGCAGCCGGGGCAGCTGGGGACAAGTAGGGAGAGGACGTTTGCCTTGGTCCAGGGCTGGGCTGGACCATGGTCTCTGGGTTTCCCAGAGGTCCCTGTACCTTGGAGGCAGCCATCTGTTCTGAGACACCTGCCCTGAAGCCAGAGTCACAGTCTAGTGGCTCCCTGAGGACATTAAGGCAGGGTCCCTGGGGCTGTGGGTCTGAGTTGTGGGCAGGCGATTTGCTCTTGATCTTCCTCCTAGAGCCCAAAACACAGGGCTCCTCCTCGGAGCTTGCTGGCTTTGCACAAGCCCATTTTCCCAAGGAAGGGCCCCGACTGGACTCAGAGAGGGACAGTAGTCTTTCGGACAGAGGAATTTCCTCAGTTCTAGATAGTTCCTCCAGTGCCCCCAAAGTACAGCCACTAGGTGTCCCCAGCTCCTTAGTGGGAGACCCTCCTCTGCTCTCCTGGGAAGGGTCCAGAAGAGCCACGTAGTCTCCTGCCAAGCCCTGGCTGTCCATGTTGTCCATCCTGAGGGCCACCTCCCCAGGCCTGGCTTGCTCCACCTTGATGAGGCCTGGATACTTGTCCCCAGACGTCCTGCCCCTGCTCTTGGCCAAACTCGGGACAAGAAGCATCTGGCTGCCTGGGGAGCTGGCCTGGTGCAGCTCTTGGGGGGTGCTCAGATCCAGTGCCTCTAACTGCAGGGAGCCCCAGGCTGGGGAGGGGACGTTCACAGCTGGGGGTCTGTCATCCACAAACTCTGGGCTGGCGATCTTAGTCCAAGGCACAGGGGAAATCCCATTCTCGGAAGCCACCAGGCAGTTGTGTAAGGGACTTCCCTCAAAGTCACTGTTGATGGCCTCCAGCCACTCTTGGGTGAAAATCACAGGGTAGGATGACTCGGGAACGGGCTTCTTGTCCACCGTGCGGAGGTCCAGGGAGAGGCGTTTGATCATCATGCAGACGGACTGCTCCTCCTGGGGCTCGACTTGGAGGTAGAAGTCACCCTGGCGCAGCAAGAGGGGATTGAGCGGTGCCAAGTGGACCACGACCTCGTCCCGTAGACAGAGCGGCCAGCCCTCGTGCAGGAAGAGGCAGTGGGAGTAGGGGCCCTGTGGGGGAGGACGTCACAGAATCAGGACCCCAGAATCCTCAGCCCTGGACCGGCTTCCTGCCCTCTCCAGATGAATCCGGAACAGCTTGGGGATGGAGACGGGAAGAGAGGTACCCAGGAGCCGCACTGAAGGGCCCTGGCTCTCAGGGCTGTGCGAGGGTTGACTCTGCCTCACTTGACCCTGACCTTGAAAACACTTTCTAGACCACCACACCAAGGGACAAACGCTGAGAGCCAGGCACGATTTGCAAAGTGTTTTTTTCCATGAAATCTTCTTATCTGACTCACGTACCCTTTCCTCCCCATCTACACAATGCTGCTCCCCATCCAGCTCAAGCCCTAGGACCGGGCTGTAAAGTCAGAGCGATGTGGGTTTGAACTAATTTGTGCAAACTATTTAACTTATCTGAGCCTGGATTTCCCCATCTGCAAATAGGAATAATTTTAAAAATTATGAATATATATATATATATATATATATATATATAAAATTTATGAAAGTCAATACACTTTTGCTGGCCAGTGGGCGGAACTGGAGAACACCATGCTAAATGAAATAAGCCAGGCTCCGAACATCAAGGATCAAATGTTTTCTCTCTTATGCAGAAGCTAGAGCAAAAAAGAGAGAAAGAAAGAAAGAAAGAAAGAAAAGCGTGGGTGGGTGGGTGGGATGTTATTTTTCTAAAAATAAAAGGGAGATCCATAGAGTAGAGGAAGGGGACTGAGAGGGAGGAAAGGGATTGAGGGGGAGGGAGGAGGGACAGGAAAAGGGGGGAAACTGTGAAATGAAATTGACCAAATTATGCTCTATAAATATACCACAGTGAATTCCACATTTGCATGTATCTATAAGGGGTCAAGTTACAATACAAAGAAGGAAGGCAGGCCAGTGGAGTAGAGGAAGGGAAACAGGGAAAGGGAGAAGGGAGAGAAGAGGTCCTAGGGACCGAAATGGTACAAATTACATTCCATGCATGTATGATTCTGTCAAAAGGAACCCCAATATTATATATCACTACAGTGCACTTATAAAAACATTAAAAACAAAGCCAACACAATACTTAACATATAATATGCAAATGCTCCCTAAATATTAATTTCCTGTTTTTTTAAAAAAAACTTTTTGTAGTTGTCGATGGACAGCATGCCTTATTTTATTTACTTACTTCTGAATGCAGTGTTGAGGATGGAACTCAGTGCCTCACATGTGGTAGGCAAGCGTTCTATTACTGAGCCCCATCCCCAGCCCTTTTTTGTATTTTATTTAGAGTCAGGGTCTCACTGAGTTGCTTAGTGCCTTGCTAAGCTGCTGAGGCTGGCTTCAAACTCATGAACCTCCTGTCTCAGCCTCCCGAGCCACTGCACCTGGCTCCTTCCCTGTCCTTTTGACAACACTTATCTTTAAAAAAAAAAAAAGTGTGCCAATTTTCAATCAGAATAAAAAGTAATTTGCTGTTTTATGTCATCCTCCAGTTTTTAAGTAGAACAGCAGCAGAGAGAAGCAGGAACAGTACTGAGTGAGAAGACAGGAGATCTGACCTCGCCACTTATTTACTAGATGACCTTGAAAAAGACATTCCACATTTTCATTCTGACCCAAAAGTCATTCTGGGGTCAAATGCTCATTATTTGTTTGTTTATTATCTATTTAATTTCCCATTAGCAAGTAAGGACATGGCTAAGTGAGGCAAATCATTTATAATTTTTTTTTTTTTAAGAGGAGAAGGTGCCAGAAATTCTCTGAATAGGTAGATAAGGCCTGGAGCAGACCTGACCTGGACGATCCCCTCCCAGCCAAGCCCCCCTGTCTACCCGTCTGTGCCGACCAGTGTTCAACAGAGATGCTCAGCGGGGACAACAGTAACAATGTCCCCTGTATGGACAACAGGTCTTTCTCCACCTGACTTTTGGAAAAGATTCTGAATCTCGTGGATGAAGTAAATCCCAGACAATTTTGCACAATTTGGACATGGGTGCAAAAGACCCGGAGTTTCCTGGAACTATTAATTGGGGCAATGGTGAGAGCTGACCATGTTTGCGCCCCCCCCCCACACACACACACAGCATGCTGCCCTCGCCTTCTCATTAAACAAGACAGAGGAGTCCAGCTGTGTTTTGCAAAAGGCAAAGCACCACCGAGGTGACAGCTCTGCTTGTCCCATTGGACTCTCCCAGTGATGCATGGTGCGGCTGCTCGGCATTATTGTTCTCATTTACTCACAAGGAAGTTGAGGTTCAGCTCTTCTAGGTTCACAGTGATAGGGCTGGGACTTGAACCTGGGCACCTGACCCCAGAGACCTCCTGTGGATCCCACATCGCTCCCGCCTGCTCTGCAGTGACATGAATTTGCCTGTAATTATGGTCAAATTAAATTTGCCTACAATTAAAAAGTAAAGATGTGGACAGGCTGTGACCTTGACACTGAAAGAGCTGAGGAAGGGCGCAGTGCAGATATGGTTTTAATGACCAAATACAGGAAGTGACGGTTGCGAAGCTCATCAGGGAGAAGGATGGGGGAGGATCACCATGAACTAATGTCAGCATGTGGAAGCCTCCTGATGTCTCCAGAGACACCCTCCCTCCTACAAGGCCAGTTCCTGTGCACTAAGGGTTCCCATTTACCAGGTGCTTGCTGTGTGGCACAGCTGGGAGGGATGATCTCTCTCTTTTTGGTTCCAACCATCTCCATCCTGGTTCCTAAATGACACACACAGTCCCCACCCTTATGCTTTGCTCCTCATGAGCTATGTCCCTGACAGGTAGTGAGCAAGACTAGCCAGGGGTGGGGGACTGGTCAGGGGTGGGGGTCTCAGGCAGCATGTATTAAATAACAGTACGGCAGGAAGCGGTTGGCAAACCAGTGATGGGTGTGATGCTGTAGGCATCAGAGGACTTGATCTTCTTAGGGACCCCAAGGAACTCCCCATCCTTTTTTAAAAACAGTCTCATCCCCTGACCAAGGAGGTGGGTATATGACTTCATCAATCCTGATGCCCCCATTCCTTTGGCCACAGTGATTGGTTCAGGAATGGACATGTGACCCAAATCTGGCCAATCAGGATCCTTCCTTGAGATTTTTTTTTTTCTATGTGCAGCTGCTAAGGAAGAGTTAGTTCATTTTCCTTTTCCAAGGCAGGTTGATAAGCCTAGAGTTTCCCTGAGCTGCAACCTTTGGGAAGACCCAGCTCTTTAGAATGATGCTGAAAAGCAGAGAAACGGAAACTGAGGGGTCTTCAAGGGTAGCTCAGGTCTGGTCTGAGAGGGGACTCTGTCATTTGTAGCCCATAAGTTTTGCCTAAAATTTTCTTTTTCTGTTTTTCCATAGAAGAGGCCCCCCGGGATCTATGTTTGAGGGGTTTCACAGTTGAAAGTGCACATTCTAATGACGCAGGGACTCCAGGAGAGCTCTGAGGCATTCTCTGTAATCTCCATGGAAGTGCCCCACTTTGGCCAAGGCAGCCTGGTGATGGCCAGGATGCCAGGCCCCAGGCAGGCTCCTAAGGACCAGGATCCCCCCCAGAGCCTCTCTGCAGCGGTTCCTCCTGCTGCCACCAGCATGTGTAATTGACTCCCAGATGTCAGAGGATAAGGGCCAAGTGACCCTCCTGCTCCACTTGGGAGCTGACAAGCAATGATATGTGGAAAACCATCCATGTCCTCAGCTCTTCTATGAGTCAACACCCCCCTCTGCCCACCTGCTTTTCTGCTCCCCTCCAGCCCCTGGCCCTCTGGGAGAGACTGTCCCTGGCGCCACCACCCTCCCGACTTACACAGGCTTCTTCGCGAACTTGCTCACACAGGCGCTTGGCAGGGATCAGGAAATTCAAGAGGAAGCTCAACCCGTCTCCCCGGAAGTCAGAGTCCAGGAGCCGGAACACCTGACCCAGGACCGTAGGTGCTGTGGCCTCAAAAGGGGGATAGAGGCCAGCCAAGGCGTGCTGGATGGCGGCATCTAGGGACGGAGGGTCCTGGGGGAACAGAAGGAGAGGATGAAAAGTAATGGTAGCAACCACGACAAGGGCAGTGGGCACTTCCTGTGACCTCCCAGGTCTCCATGACTGAGCCCCTGCTAATGCTGCCTGCCACTCCTATCCCCTCCCCCTGGCTCACACCCCACTCAGGGGAGCTTCCCAAACCTGCTCCTCCTCCACCCCCTCCCTGCCCAGGGACGTCCCAACATCCCGTCAGACTAGGAGGCCAGAACCCACGTGTTGAGCTGCCCTCTCCTGCCACCAGCCTGTCCCCTGCCCCTGACCGAGCTGGGTCTCCACCACCTCTTCCCGGGAATCACCTCACTTTGGATGATGGCCTCGGGCCCTCCTCCCTTCAGAGACCTCCACTGAGGCCCCAGAGTGACATTTCCCACATGTCAGTCCCCTGCTCAGCGTTCCTCAAGGGCTCCTCATTGCCTTCAGGACACGTGCAGCCCCCGTTCCAGCTCCCCGACCCGGCTGTGTGCAGGCCCAGCCTCTCCATGCCTCACCACGATGGCACAGGTACTCTCTTGTCCCCTCCAGGCCTTTGCCCTTGCTGTTCCTTCCTCCCGAACACCTTCCTCTTCCATTGCCCCCTCACCTGGCCAGCTCCTTATTCTCTAAGGCTCAGGTCAGCCCTCGTCTCTGACCTGGTACCTGCCTCGACCCCAGAAGGGTCAGGTGTCCCCTCCTCTGTGTCCCTATCATAGCAGTTCCCACTATGATTTCTGGATCCCTAGGGGTAGGCAGAGTAGCCCTCAAAGATGCCCACCTCCTAACCCCTGGGATCTGAGACTGGGTCACTTAACAGGCAAAAGGGGATTAAGGTTGCAGATGGAACAAAGGTTGCCAATCATCCGGCCAGAAAACCCAGAGGGTCTCCCGGAGTCTAAAGTGGGCCCAGAATACTGAGAAGGGTTTGCAAAAGGGGGAGAGGAGCCAGGTGGGGTGGTGCATGCCTCTAAGCCCAGTGACTCTGGAGGCTGAGGAAGGAGGATTGCAAGTTCAAGGCCAGTGTCAGCAACTTAATGAGATGGATTTTAATGAAAAATAAAAAGGTCCAAGTGGTAAAGCACCCCTAGGTTCAATACCCAGTACAAAAAAAAAAAAAAAGGAGGGGGAGGGGATAGTCCAGAAGACAGAGGGAATGTGACTGTGGAAGCAAGGTCAGAGAGATGCCAAGTTGCTGGCGTTGAACAAGCAGGAAGAGCCAGGGAATGTGGGCAGCTCTCTGTAAAGAGCAAGCAAAGGAATTCTCCCCTAGAGCCTTTAGGAAAGAATGCAGCCCTGCCCACACGGTGGTTTTAGGCCAGCAAGACCCATGTCAGACTTGGGGTCTACAGGACTGCGGGGCTAATAAAGTCGTGCTGCTCTAAACTCCTGCAGGTGTGACCATTGGTGACAGCAGCAATAGAAAGCCAGCACAGCGCACGCTGGCTCCGATTCACCCCTGGGTCCTCCACACCTGATCCAGGGCCTGGCACAAAATAGGTGCTCGGCAAATTTGGAAGCAGGAAAATAGTCTTCCCTGAACCACATTTTTTTCTATCTGTAAAACAGGCAAGATGAGAAGGCCAGAGACTGTCAACCGTCTGCAGCAAGTGGGTCCGCAGGCTTCGATTTTCTACTTTTAAATAGTGTAATGGGAGCCATTCTGGTTTCCCCTGACTGACCGCAAGCTCTGGTCCATCAATTGCTGAGGTGCGAAGGGAGATGGAAATAAAGATCCAACATAGAGCTTATTTAGGAGAGGGGCCCTTTCTATAAACGAAGACCCCGAATACAAGGAAATAAAAGAGAGACTTTGAAGTCGGCGGGGGGGGGGGGACGGAGGAATGTCGCAGCCATTCTGAAGGAAGGTGGACCTGGCACTGACATGGCAGGGGGCTCTCAGGGATGCCTGGCTGTCAGGGACTTGGTGCCAAAGTGCAGGAAGAGCTATTTGCACAGCGAGCTGCAGAGAGGGTCTTCTGGGTGGCAGAACAGCCCGGTGTCTTCTTCTCACTCTCCCAACCCTCATCAAGCAAGGTTAAACCCTGACATTTGTCACCCCACGCAACCCTGAGGACCACAGGAGGAAGGATGGGAAGTCAAGGGCGGCATCTACCCTCTGTGAATACACACACTCAATCATTTAGGCTGGGACCTTGGCACTCCTGGCTTCTATCTCGCTGTGCAGCCTTGAGTAGGTCCCTACCCTCTCTGGGCCTCTTTCCTTACATGCAGATTGAGCTAGGCTGCCTGTTTGTCTTGTTTTGGACACTTCCCAAAGGCTTGGCCAGTCTCTTCCTTTCTCCCAAAGCCAGACTGCAGCACATTAGGGAGGCGGTAAAGACATCTGATCGCCAGGGGAAGGCTTCCTAAGTCTGCAGAAGATCAGAGAACTCTGAAGGGATTGTCTGACCACGTGGTTCCTGGTTGTTAAGTTCTGGCCAGAGACATAAGTGAGGTCGTCTCTGTAGCTGACTGCAGTGCTTCAACCCCTAGGAAACAGCGGGCCAAACTCTCCTCCCTCTTGGAGCCTCGGTTTCCCCATGTGTAATCAGGATCCTACCTCCCACCCTGCCCTGATCGGAACTGCTCTCTGGGAAAGAGGGGGGACTGCTGCAGTTCATGTTTTCATTGTAATTGATACCGAGTGAGCCTGCCAGGCAAAGCTGAGGTCCAAGTTCCTTTCCTGTTCCTTTCTGAGTCCTCTACTGTCACCCCAGGGACAACAGCAGGCTCCAGGCACCCACTGTGCCAGGCCCTCAACTCACCTTCTCTGGCTGATGCACACAGGGAGCAGCGCCATCCTGGACAGATGGACGGACGCAGGCAGTGTCTGGGCCTCCAGCTGTTTGTTCTGCCTGGAGGCACCAGCCCCAAGGGTGGCCTGCCCAGCACTCTGTCCTTCCCTGTCTCCACCGTGCCTCAGGAAACTGTTTGCTTCTGGAAGAGCGAGCCTGGCAGACTGAGGTGCCCCTGGCTTTGACAAATTGGCTCTGCTCACCACACACTGTAACCATTTAAGGGGCAGCCAGCAAAGCGGAGCCCGTTCCAAGTTCCCAGGACTCTGTGTTCTTGGCCAGCACGATACCTGCTCCAGGCCTGAACCCCAGGGGCTCATCGGCTGTCAGGGAAGCGCACAGGGAAAGGGGAGCGTTGGCCACTCGCCATCCCAATCAGCCCAGCCCAGGGCCACAGGAACCCAAACGCGTCGGCGAGACGTGGAGCCCTCGAAATGATTTCCATGAAACTTAATCGACTTGTTTCCATTAGTTCCCAGAGAGGCTGCCTGGCAGGACCCTTAACTGTTCCCGGCAGGAGAGAAACTGAACAAGGGAGCTAAGTCAAAGCTGCCGCCGCCTGCCCGCCCCCCTCCGCACTCCAGGCCAGAGAAGGAGCCCACCTGTGCCCCAGCAGACGCTGACATGTGCTCTGACTTGGGGCCATTGTTCCTACTGACGTGGGCACCTTGTCTGTGCTGGGACACCTAGAAAACTACCTACTACAGACGCTGTGTCTGCGCAGGGAGCAGCTGTGTTCGTAGATGTCTGTTTTCATGTCTTTGTAATGAGCCTCTATTACTGTTGTATTATTTTTTTATCAAATAAAACAAATAAATAAAAAATTTACAGGACTATACATTTGGACCTAGAGACGGACTTCTGTAACCATTATCCAGAACAATATGCAACAGATTTCTGCCACCCCACAAAGAGGCTCCTTCATAGCCAAACCCCCTCCCCACATACTGCTGACGGGTGTAGATTTTTTAAAGAAAAATTTCCATACAGTGTGATCTTCAGAGTGTATGTGAGCCTAGGAAGAGTCCAAGCGGCATTCAGTAAAGTGTTCACTGTAGTTACCCCGAGGGCGGGGGGAGGGCAGGTAGGGGCAGTATTTGAATTTTCTTCCTAGTGTGCTGCGTTTTCAAATTGTTCTATAATCAGCTCCTATAGCTTTTATGATGGGAGGGTGTGATTGCATGTGTTTGAAAGGCTGCCTGCCTCCTTTTTTAAATGGTCTCTCCAGATGTTGTTAGCTGGGCCTTCAGAGACGTGGGCTGAACTTTTCTTAAAGGTTCAGTTTATCCATTTAGTCCAACAGGCGAAGGATTTAGCATCACCTCATATGAGAAGAGCTGAGGTGGGTGGGAGGAGCCCCAGGGCTGCCTTCCACCTGGGCAGAGATGCCTGGGGAAGGTGAGGTCTGCCCCCGACTGGCCAGTGAACTGGACCTCGGTCCCCCCCGCCCCCCTGTAAAAGGGAAGCGCTGAGCATATCGGTCTCCAAGGATCCTTCTTCTGGTAGGAACATGCTAGAATTCAAAGCAAAATCGGGTTCAGGAAGGTTTGGAGCCAGAAGATGGTTTCTTAATGGGACCAGTTGACCTTAGCTGGTGAGAAAACTTCTAATGATGTGTCTTTCTGCCTTGGGACCAGGGAGATCTAAACCAGTAGCCATAGACTCATAGGTCTTCAGAGAACCACCAGGTTATACGGAAGACAGAAGTGGTCTAAGTCGAGAAAGCAACCCCTCCAGCCCTTGGAGAGGGGCCCCTGACAGTCACCGTCCCCATCAGGGAAGCAATAGGGAGCCGTGGGGCCTGGGGCAACACCCATTTCATCGGCATCAACCACACATGGCTGTGGCCCCTGTGCCTGGATTACGGATCTTTTGGTCAAACCTCTCCAACCCATCTGTGAGCCAGGTGCAGCCCAGCAGGTATCGGGTTGTGACCTCTGGACTCAACTACTGGGGACACTCCTCGTGAACTGGCCCAGGCTGAGGTGCTGAATCCAGCATTTCTGCTCACTTCTCAAGTTCTCGCTCACTTCCAGCTGAAACTTTCCCTGCACTAAGCCCTTTTTTATTTGGGTGTGGGGGCAGAGATATGAGAGAGAATTGGCTCTTTATTTAAAACAACAACAACAACAACAAAAAGACTTTCAAAACTGAATAAACAGCCCAGACACAGTGAACCAAGAAGCGAGCAGGCCCCAGAAGACCCACGTTCAAGTCCAGCTCCACTGTGTATCGCCTGAGTGACCTCCAGCAAGGCACTTCGCCTCTCTGAGCCTTAGTTTTTTTTTGTTGTTGTTGTTGTTGTTTTTTTTTGGGGGGGGGTTACCAGGGATTGAACTCAGGGGCACTCCACCACTGAGCCCCATCCCCAGCCCTGTTTTGTATTTTATTTAGAGGCAGGGTCTCACTGAGTTGCTTAGCACTTCACTTTTGCTGAGGCTGGCTTTGAACTCAAGATCCTCCTGCATCAGCCTCCTAAGCCACTGGGATTACAGGCGTGCACCACCGCACCTGCCTTGAGCTTTACTCTTGTATCTGTTCCTTTCTCTCCCTCTCCCCTTTGCCTCTGCCCTGGGGCGCCCCATCTCCCACCCAAGCCACACAACAATAATTGCAATGAGCGCTGCTTCTTACAGAAGTTAGTCTCTGGAGTCAGGCCTGAGCCAAGCAATTCCCATGATCATTGTATTTTATCATCCTAATAATTCTATGGGCCGGGTATTTTGTTCCCATTTCACAGGTTGAAAAACTATGGCCACAACTTTCCTGCTAATAAATGGCAGAGCTGGGGTATAAAACTGAGAACCAGTCCAGGTTTCCGTCTGCCCCCACTCCCCCAGTGGCCTTTCTCACACAGAGATCCAGATTGGGCTGATGCTTGGAGCCACCAGTCAGCTCCCAGCATTCTTGTCCTACTTCTTCTAGACACACTGCATGCTCTAGCCAGGGCTTTCTGGTCATCAATGGGCCACACACAAGAGGTTTTCTTGCATATCCTAATTTATTATTTGCTTGATAGAGATTTATGATGATTTGCTTAGTATTTTTCTTTTTGTCTATTTGTTTGCAATTTGAATTTATTTTTATTGATTTTCATGTGTTTCTGCAATTTAAAAACCCCCTAACGCTCATTAAGATGAAAAGCTGTAAAATAAAAAATGGTCACCCAAGTGCCACCTAAAATCTCCCTGCTAGAATCCAAGGTGGGGACCCCAACTAAGGAAGGGCTGCCTGGATGCGGCCCTGCCTCTGCTCACCCTGCACCCCTCCCTGGACTGAGCAAGCTCCTATCTATACTTCAGAGCCCAGTGGTCTGCGTTGCTTCTCTTGAGCTTTCCAGGACACATGTGGTTCCAGGAAGAGGGGCCTCCCACCACCCATCAGACAGCTCAGGACCCTTAGTGAACAGGCCTGCACTCCCCAGGGACCTTGAGGCCACGACGGACTGGCCCACATAGGGGCTGGGTGGGGACCACCATGTAGTAGGTTCCTTGGCAATGTGGAGTGAATTGAACCAGATTTGAGCAGCTTTTCTCAAAGTGTGGGATGGAATTGCAGGTGGCCCACAAGACCATCTTGGGAGGACTCGGACTTGATGTGAAATCACAGCAAGAAAACTACTCCAGTCCTCTCCAGGCCTCCTGTTGACACCCAGGAGAAAGCCTCATCAGGTGTCTGATATACCTCTCAGATACCTCATCATTACTCCCCTTAGCAGATGAAACCAGTCCTCAGGCGAGGAAGGGTCCACGGTCAGCCTCATCCAGCCAGAACCCACTAACACAGATCTGCCCTCATTGCATAGATTTTTACAGTTACTTTTTATTTATGATATATATATATATATATATATATATATATATATATGTATATAAACATTTTTTTTGTACCAGACATTGAATTCAGGGGCCCTTAACCACTGAGCCACACGCCCAGCCCTTTTTTGTATTAATAATTTGAGTCTCACTGAGTTGCTTATGGTCTTGCTAGGTTGCTGAGGCTGGCTTTAAACTCATGATCCTCCTGCCTCAGCCTCCCAAGCCACTGGGATTACAGGTGTGTGCCATTGCATGCAACTTTTACAATATTTGGTCAGATAAGTGGATTCATAAGTTTTTCTACAGATACTGAAATTTGGGAAGTGTGGAAATGGATAAGCCCTAAATCCCTTTTCTGTAAGAATCTCCAACACTGAGCTGCCCCTGAACACTGGACAATCATTAATCAAAGCATTCCACAAAATTACTACTGTAATGAAGGCCATGAGGGAGGAGTCTCTGGCAGGCTAGAGCAAGGGCCAGGGGAGTCGGGAGGCTTTGCTAAAATGATACTTGGGTGGAGACTTCCGGGATGAATAAGTATTCCTTAGGTAAATGTGCTTCTTCTCCTAGCAGGTACAGCTTGTATAAAGGCCCTGGGGCAGGAGGGAGCATAAACTATAAGAGCTTCTAAACCAAGGCCTGAGTGGCTGGAGTGGGTAGGTAAGGCCAGAAAAATGGACAGATTATAATCTGTAATACATAAAGACAGAAAGGTAGGAAAATCTGCCCATTGTACCCAATGAAGAAAGAGATGTTGAGTCTTTGAGAGGCCCAGCCCAGTGACTGACCCTTAATCTAAGTATCTGGGGTTTGGTGAGGGGTGTCTGGATTCTAAAACTAATAACTAGATTAGGTCCAGCCAGGAGAGGTGGGCAAACACCCCTTGTGCAGGCTGTGGCTTGGGGTGGCAGTACAGCTGGATGCAGGTTTAGAATTCAGCCTGCCCTGACTTGCACTTCCTGGTGGAGTGACTTTGAATAGTCACCTAAGCTCCCAGAGCAAAGGCCCCCGCCTGTGGGGTAGAGATATCAGCAATTTACTACTCCTAAGAGTTGGTGTAAAGCCTAGCATAGCAGCACATTCCTGTAACCCCAGTGACTCAGGAGGTAAGGCAGAAGGACGGCAAGTTCAATGTCAGTGTGGACAACTCAGTGAGACCCTGTCTCAGAATAAAGAATAAAAAGGATTGGGGATGTAGCTCAGTGGTAGAGCACCCCTGGGTTCAATCTCCAGTTGCACACGTGCGCGCACACACACGTACACACACACACACACACATTGGTGTGAATGACCTGAACTCCCACATACATAGTGGAAGGTCTTGCCTGTAGGGAGAGGTAAATAACAACTAGTTTGTAATGGTTATTTTCAAATAGCTCCAAGGGCAATGTGTGTCAGTGTGTCCTGCTGGTGCAATTTAGGCACCTGTATATATATATATATATATATATATATATATATATATATATCTCCACATTTTGGCAGCATGGGAGAGCAGGTGGACAAGGGTTGCTTATACGAGGAGGCACATGTGTGGAGCTGTGTGAGTCAATGGGAGTGTGTTGGGTGTGCTCCATGTGTGTGTGTGTGTGTGTGTGTGTATGTATGTATGTACCCACTTCTGTGCAGAATTCCTCTGTGTGGGTGTGCACATGAGTGAAAACCCACACAAATTCAGCCTGATGGATCGCAGTCGAGGCGTTAAAGCCCTGGTCTGTCTTCACAGCCGCCTTCCAAATCCCCTGATTAAGAAAATGGCTCCTGTGAATCTGCCTGGGGCTCCTGGGCCTGTCTGGAGCTGAGCTGGGAGTCTTTGAAAACAGTATTTTCTTTCATTTTCCGTTTCCAGATTCTGGCACAAACACACATACACAACTCTCCCAGAGTGTCCCAGCCTTCTGGAGGTGCCAGTCTGGAAGGTCCAGGTGTGGAGGTATTGCCCTTCCTCTGCCCTCCCCGCCCCAGGTAACCCTCCCCCTGTTCCTCCCAGAGCACCCCATGTCAGGACATTGGACTTTCCGGCCCTGGGTCTCAAACAGCAGAACCATTCCGAGTTTGGGGAAGCAGTCCCTTTTGCACTCTGCACCAGGAGTCCTCCCTGCCCTGTTTTGCTGGGCCCCTCTCCACCCAAACCCCACGTTGGAATCGTGCCTAGCTGACCATCTGCCCCACATCTAAAATGCAAAACCACCCCAAGCTTTGTCTGAGGCCCGGCGAGCTAGGGTTCAAGTTCAGCTCTTGACTCTGGGTTGGGACAATAGGAAAGTTAACACATCGTCCCTTATTCCATCCATCTCACGCCTGGAGAGGCCCAGGGAGAACTTGGCCAAGGAAGGGACCCTGCAACCCCTCAGACCCCACCCGCGCTGGGGCTGGGGCGGTTAGGAGTGGACTCCTGTCCAGGCACCGAGGGTTGTCCCCGCTGTAAGGGTCGCGGCACCGCCCAGGGGCCCCGGGGTTAGGGGAGAAAGGAGCAAGCGGGGTGGTCCAGCCTGGGCAGCGTTACCATGGTGACGGGACCGGCGCTCCTCTCGGCTCCTCTCCTGCGCTCGGGTCTGTGGGTCGGGGGTGCTGTCCTCCCGTGCAGCCGCCAGGCCTA